GATGGCCGGCCTTGCACCACCGAGAGGACCGCCGTTGAGCTTGGCGACCGTCGACATCGCGGAGGGAAGCAGGTGTGGCTTGGCAACATCCGTGGCGGGGCTAGCGACGGCGCCCAGATCCTGAGGTGCGTGGCTCCCCATGTCCCTGACACCGCTGCTGGCGACGCTGCCGGTGCTGCTGTAGGAGGTCCCGGCGGGCGCCATTTGCTCTTTCCCAATAACGATGCGCTTCAGCATCCTCCGCCTCGCAGCAAGCCTCTGCGGGGGGCGCCGGATCGTTGCCCAATTGTAGAGCGGTACCGCCCGCCCCAACGAATCGATGCGAACAACCTGCCTGCCTGTCTGAAGTTGAAGCAGGACGAGCGTGCCTCGAGCGCTGTTGTGGTTGGTGCTATGGTTGTTGTTGTTGATGTTGTTGCTGTTGTTGCGGTTGTTGATTGTGGCACTTCTTCGGACCACGGCGAGCGAGCTAGGCTGAGGGCACGGTGCTCGCAGCACCAGGGCCTGGTCGTCCGCCGCATCGTCCAAAGCTTCGTCGTCTTCTTTGTCGCTGGAAAAAACGGGGCAAGAGCAAGAATTTTACCAAGTCAAGCATACCCGCGTGGTTGTAAAGTACCTATAACAGTGCTCGGACAGGACAAGACACAGCGAGTGTTCCTTGCGGCCTCTACCACCAACAGGGGTAAGGAGAAGCAGCCATTGTTGAGCGCGGAGACACGTTTACCGGTAGGACACGTGGAGGAGTTGAAGCTTACCCGCCGAACGACAAAATACGGGGGGAACCATAGTGCCAGCAGATTGGTGTGTGTTGTGATCTCGTGTACTTCACCCGTCTGTTTTTCAGGGCTGCGCACGGGGCGTTTTTTTTTTTGAAGCGGAGCGGAGCGGATTCAACCGCTCCGTGACATGAACAAAACACCGCTCCGCTCCGTGAGACTTTTGCCCTCGGATAAACCGCTCCACTCCGTGGGCTTTCCCGACAATCCGTACAAGCGGTTTCTTCACGGAGCGGCTTCAGCTACTCCCTCACACAAGCACGGATAAAACCGCAATATACAGTCACGGGTTTCCCACGGATTCGCGGTTTTTCCCCACAGAGTCACGTTTTTTTCCCACGGAGTCATGGGATTTTTCTTTTTTCTGTTGTACTTTCCACAGCAGCCACACAAATAACATATAACCGTGCCAACGCACACAACAAACAACAGCAGTCCGCGCCACACACAAACACCATGACATCCTAGGTTTCTGGCGGGATGCCGGCAGCCCACGTCTTGATCCCCACGGAAACGTGGTTTCTGCTGCGCAATTCCCCATCTTGTCCATGCTCGCTCGCGTGTACCTTTGCATTGACAGCACTAGTTGCCATTCAGAGAGGGAGTTTTCGGGGCTGGGGTTCGTGTTCAAAAATCTTCGGCAGTCGATGCTGCCCGACCGTGTCGAGATGGTGATGTTCCTCAGGTCTAACCCCCATTTCACTCCCGAGATCATCAAGAANATGCTGCCCGACCGTGTCGGGATGGTGATGTTCCTCAGGTCTAACCCCCATTTCACTCCCGAGATCATCAAGAAGTTGGATATGGAGTTGGGGAAGCTGCTTGCAGCGCAGTCTGTTGGGAAGGCTAAAGCTGCAACCGTTCAAGCCGTTCGTGCGGGAGAGCAAGTGGCTGTCGATGTCGAATATCTGACTGAGTGAAATAGGGGCGTATGTATTTGGATGAAAATATACAATACAAAAAGCCTGGTGTTAGAGCGCTAGTACTGACAAGTTTCAACGACAAGCGAATGAGGAATCATCTGCTGTTGTACGTGTTGCAGGAACATATGACATATGAGTCGAGGAGGTACCGATGTGGGGAACAATTCCTTTCTGAATAACAGCTGGATTTTTGCTTTTTGCTTTTTGGGCTGTTTGGGCTGTCCTAGCGGCGAGGACGCGTACGGTATCACCGGCGTCCTCCAACCACAGCACACTGTGCGGAAAAATCGGTCTTCGGTGCACCGAACCCAATGTCTTTCACGAAATTGCACGTACTCCGTCGATTTTGTACGGGTATCCGTGTGGTTTCGACCTTTCTTTCTGGCGGAGAACCGTCCTCAACGCCACGGTTCCGCGTGGTTGATGCTACCGAGTAAACGAAACCGCTTCGTGAAAAAAAAANCGTACGGTATCACCGGCGTCCTCCAACCACAGCACACTGTGCGGAAAAATCGGTCTTCGGTGCACCGAACCCAATGTCTTTCACGAAATTGCACGTACTCCGTCGATTTTGTACGGGTATCCGTGTGGTTTCGACCTTTCTTTCTGGCGGAGAACCGTCCTCAACGCCACGGTTCCGCGTGGTTGATGCTACCGAGTAAACGAAACCGCTTCGTGAAAAAAAAAGCACTACGGACAAACCGCTCCGCTCCGCTCCGTGACATGAACAAAAAAAACGCTCCACTCCGTGAGACTTTTGCCCTCGGATAAACCGCTCCGCACCGCTCCGTGATATTTTCAAATGAAGAAAACCGCTCCGCTCCGTGGAACATTAGCCCCTTTGGGTCTAGCTCTTGTTTTTTTTCAGCAAAAAAAAAGTAGGGACGAGAGAATGCGGGAGAGAGAGCGAGAAGTACAGCAGAAAGCGACGAGTATACTTCTGTAGACGCAACAGCTATCTCCACCCATAGGCCATGAGGGCTGCCTACGACAGGACGATGGGCACATACAGGGTAATAGAAGGGTTGATGTGTGGTAGCGGTGCGGCTGCTAGGGCAGGTTAGGCTTGTAGGCCTCGAAAAGATCAGTCGTCAAGCAGCCTAAACTACTCTTTTTTCAGTAGTCTATATTCAAATAATCAATGAAAATGATCGGTGAGAGGGCTTGTCGACCCGTAGACTAGCTGGTTCTTGTACTTCGGTACTTCTCTGTCCCCTCCCCAATGTGCGCCCTGCCGGATCACTGCACCTCCTGTGATTTTCCCACAATTCCCACAAACACGCAGGCACACCACAGTACACACACACCTACCTTTGCATCCGTGGCTCCCTAGGTTCGGGCGAGGGTTAGGGCTATGATATGCGTTACTACTACTGTATGTTGGACTCGTCTATACTGCTGCTGCTGTATAGTATATCTGCAAAGACTGCTGGATCTTGGGAGTGTACGATTTTCAANGATCACTGCACCTCCTGTGATTTTCCCACAATTCCCACAAACACGCAGGCACACCACAGTACACACACCTACCTTTGCATCAATGGTTCCCTAGGTTCGGGCGAGGGTTTGATTAGGGCTATGATGATAGTGTATGCGTTACTACTACTGCTGTATGTTGGACTCGTCTATACTGCTGCTGCTGCATAGTATATCTGCAAAGACTGCTGGATCTTGGGAGTGTACGATTTTCAAATTTGGAGGATATGCAGCATACTACGATCATATCCTGGCCTGGTTGGGCTTGAAGTGCCCCTTTTCGCTGTCATCCTTTCTTTCCTTGAGCGGCTTCCTAGATTCGGGCGAGGGCAAGAATGTGGAGCTATTGATGTATGCCTCTGTGAAAGGATATGGCGAGAGATTAATGGTGGCATTCGCATATAGGGCAGTGTGCATTTTTCGAATTTTGGCCGTTCCAGGGACCTGATATTACCCGCTGGCACTGCTGTGACGTCATTGTATTGGTCACCGGGTAGCGCGGTCGATGCGAATAATAAAGACACACCTACCTATTGACTTCCCAACACCTGGCGTGGAGGGATACAGGGCAACAACTCCATGGCATGCCACAA